CGTTGCTTTTTGTTTCTCCATTGCCATTCATACTTGGATTGACGGCACCTTCATTGCCACCATGGCGACCGACATCATTATCGCCATTGAATTTGTAGAGGGCTTGAAGTTTGGTATTATTTTCTTTGTTGTTAATGATGTCTTTTGGTGTTAAATTGATGTAGATTTGTGTGAATATTGTTAGAGGATTTTCCTATTTATTTTTGCTTTGCCCACATTTTTGCTTTATATTGGTATATATTTGTGCGAATGTAAGGGTGTTGTTCAATCAAAAAAATGATCAGCTATAGAACTCAAAAGAAATTCGACATAACTTTTCATTTTTTCCGACAATGTCCATCGAAATTGATTAATTTTCCGATGAAATTCATCTTCCCGTCAAAAATGGAACGAATAAGACAGTTAAATTATTATTTTTTATTACTTATGGCCAACTCTACCCAACTCATCAAAAATAGCAATAAATTTTCATCCTTTTGCTTAAATTCTCTGTTGCAGATGAACCAAGAAGGTTCAAAAATATCATATTTATAGAGATGGGTTGCCGTGTTGGCGGTGGGGCACTGTAGAAGGAGAGGAGTTTTGGACTCCGATGGAATAGCAGGGTATTTACAGGATTTCTTTTATAGTTTTTAACTTAAAAATAATTTTCTTTTTCTTTTTCTTTTTCTTTTACTTTATAATATATTTTAAATAAATTTTTGGACTCAAAATACCAGATGTCAGTATTTAATTCGTCAAATTTTCATGTCATCGCGAGTGTATTTCACACACTTTATACTTTTAGTTTATCGTCAAAAAAATGTTCAATTGGTTCAAATTTGAAGGGGTAGAGGTGTTCAATAGGTACAAGTCTTAGTTGAAGTGTCTAAAAGTGAATTATGCGGACAATTTTAAGGGGCCGTCGATGACTTAAGCCCTAACTATATGTGAAGAGTCATAAGTCTTTGTGGTAAAAAAACTACATAATCATCTTCCCTCTCTATTCAAACTTGTGAAATCAACTAGCAATTATGATTAATAAAAGGGAAACGGGTCAAAAATACCCCTCAACTTTGTTTTATTGGTTGACTATACCCTTACCGTTAAAATGAAGTTATTTTTGCCCCTGCCGTCTACAAAATTGTCACATGTACCCCTCAATTGGATGGAAAACCCCAAATCAACAAAAATAACCCGATTTACTTAAATTAACCAATTTAAACCCGATTTCAATCCATCTAATATATGACCCACTTTGTTCATCTTCATCTTTTTCATATAAACATCAAGGCAAACAATAATGGAGGAAAATACATTTTTAAAGACATGAATAACATTTCCATAACCTTATGGGATTAAGTAAATACGAGTAAGCCTAAAACCTCAACTTCCCCAACCTTCCTACTTCCCAGACGATTAAACCCATCGTCGCCGTAATCACTGTTCCGGCACCATTACAAAGCCCTAGCAATTCAGTCAGAAGCTTTTATGCCATAATCATGAGATGTTTCAATCGATTTATTTCTAATTCTATGTATCACCGTTCCAGAACTATTTCCACATATCAAACACCTTATGTGCATTCACAATTCCATAGTCCAAGATTCAAAAAAATTCTGAAACCCATTTCTACAGCTTTACTAAACCGTTAATCAGTTCAAATTTCACAATATCAGCTCACGAATCAAAGTTGGCTCCATCAGGGAGAGTATCAACGATAATTAATGAGATTTCAAATTTAACGTTGCTGGAAGTATCGGATTTAAGGAAGGTTCTAAGGAAGAGAATGAGGTATTGAAGAGATGTCTGTAATGGCATAATGATGCCCGAGACGTGAGCTGCGGAAAAGACAGAAAAGAAGGCGAAGAAGAATGTTTGATTTGAAGCTCAAGGAAGTGATGAAGATGGACAGTAGGAAGTAGGAAATAGGGAGACAGATAAATTAGGTTAAAAATGAAGATGAACATAGATAGGTTATATCATTTTATGGGTCGAGTCGGGTTAAAATTGGTTAATTTAAATAAATCGGGATAATTTTGTTAATTTGGGATTTTCCATCCAATTGAGGGGTACATGTGACAAGTTTGGTAACGCAGGGATAATAATAACTTCGTTTTAATTGTAAGGGCATAATCAACCAATAAAACAAAGTTGAGGGGTATTTTTGACCCTTCTCCCTTAATAAAACATGAATGTTGCTCTTTTCTCTGTATTTAAGTTATTTTTCTATGTATGTTTTTCTACGGATGTTTTTGATGGGTAAAGTGATGTGATATGATAAGTACTAAAGTACGAGTTAAACGATTTTCAAATTGGGTGGGTTGGATTTTATTTAAGCGGATCGGATTTTATTTAAGTGGATCGGATAAACTATTAAATAGAAAGTAAATTTTTAATTATATTAAAAATGTATCCATATAGGAGTCATGTTGTTGGGTTCGAAAGTGATTAGGGCGTCATGCGGAAACATACAATTGCAAATCATGACATCGATAAATCATATGACAAAAAAGTTATACTAAAAATTAAAATATTATTATATGAAATTTGGCCAATTGGCCTACATATTAAAATCTAATAAAAAAAACATTAAAATTGTAAAGAGGAAATCTCTTCATAAACAAAAGTCTCTAAACGACTACATTGTGGATGATATTGTGTTCTTGATATGAGAAGAGGGGTCTTCAATTTATAGAGTTTCAAACTTTTCCTCTTAGGAAAAAATAAACCAAATATGGAAGAACATTATGTTTTTCTTTTCGTAAAAATTCAAGCATTTGTGGTAATACTTTTACTTTCCTTTAAGGAAAAAATAGTACTTAAAATATGGTAAGAAAATCAAGGCAATATCCTAACAAATATCCCTTTTTGGCTGGATTTTCTTGACAAAACTTGACCACCTTCTTCACATGCATGATAATCTTCGTTCTTCACATAGTCTTCATCCGTGCTGATTGCCATGGTTAAAAATAAAGTTTCAAGTATATAGGTTAAAATGATTTTAAAATATTTTATTTTTATTTTCAAAGATGCAGCAACAAGAATGTAGAAAATATTGTTTAAATCTCTTCTCCACGTGTAGCTTGGACAAAGATCTTCTTAATTATCAAATTAGTTGCAAATTGATTCGAAACCACGTTGAACCTATAGCTTGTTGAGCCATAGGATTGTTGGACCATGTGCTCTAATATCACTTGTTGGGTTCGAAATTGATTAGGGCGTCATGCAAAAATTTACAATTGCAAATCATGACATCGATAAATCAGATGAAAACAATTTATACTATAAATTAAATTATTATTATGTGGAATTTGACCAATTGACATACATATTAAAAACTAATAAAAATATTAAAATTGTAGAGAGAAAATCTCCCCATAAACAAAATTCTCTAAACGACTGAATTGTGGATTCTATTGTGTTCTTGATATAAGAAGAGGAGTCTTCAATTTATAGAGTTCCAAACTTTTACTCTAAGGAAAAAATAAACCAAATATGGAAGAGAATTATGTTTTCCTTTCAGGAAAAATTCAAGCATTTATGGTAATAATTTGATTTTCCTTTAAGAAAAAGATAAAACTTAAAATATGGTAAGAGAATTAAGGCAAAACTCTAACACATGTAAGCGACACGTAAGATAATAAAAGTGGTGGCATAATACTTAATTGTTCAAGGATAAATATGTGCCTAAAATTGGATGACAAGGACAAATATATCAAAAAAGTATGACTAAGGATAAATACAACCCTTTTCTTAGAATACAAGGGGCAAATATGACTGTTTTTCATAAATTATATAAGGTGGTTATATCAAAAAAGAAAAAAATGATTTTATTTATAAAATAGAAAATTATAAATGAAATAAAAATAAAAATATAATATTGAAGAAAGAATAGAAGATCCTTTTTTTGGAGTGAAAAATAAAGTTGTGGGTTGGAGTTGATTTTCTCTAAATATATAGAGATTCTTTATATTTGAAGATAAAAATAGAAATTTGAGTTAGAGATGATCTCATACTATGCAGTTTTACCTGTCTAAAAATATTAATCAATAAATTATAAGTATTATAATCAAAACATCACTTATTCATAAAGAAAAATAGAATGCTTCAAATAATGAAATAATAAAATATGATAATTTTAAGATATCGAACAAAAATATGAAAATCAATGATAAATAAAAAATAAAATTCGACTATGTATTTCTTTTTAAATAGCGATATTCACTCTTGCGACATTTTCAATTACTAGTAAATAAGTAATGATATAACTTGTTATTTGAATTACTCATAACTTTCTTCATTTTATAAATAAAAAATTACTAGATATCATTCACTTTTTTTAAAATTATAAGGATAAAAAGATTTAACATATAATTTCTATAAGACTTGTTAGATTTCCCCAAAATATTAGACGTCAAGATAGGTTTAAGATGTACAATCAAACATTTAAGACATAATTATCACAGAACTAAGAGCCCGTTTAGATTGACTTAGTAAAAAATAAATTTTAAATCAAAATAATAAAAAGTCAAACTTAAATGATTTTTTAATCAAAACATAAAAAGTAAGGAAACTTCTATTTTTGATTTTTAACTTTTTTTTTTTAAGTCAACGTAAATTTATTTTAAATTATTTTTAACTTTGCTAAACACTCACAAAAATTAAAAATAATTTAAAACTAGGTTTGACTAACTTTTAAGTCAATCCAAACAGATTCTAAGAATATATTTGAATTGACTTTTAATTTTTGACGTATATAATTTTAATTTAAAATTAAATCCTTATAAAAATACTTAAAAGGGCCTTTTTAAATTAGCTAAAGCGTTTTCACAGTGCCTTTTTATAAAACCCTGATCTCTTTCATGTCAATTTATTTATTTTCCATTAATAAATTACCCTTTTTTGTCAGTTGATTGATTTTCTATTAATAAAAAAATTACCTTTTGTTGTCAATTAATTCATTTTCATGTTTTCACCGTTGTGACTAGTGTATAAGTAGGCATCCATCCACTGAGCGTTTTGTATACAATTAATTAACATGGACGCCATCAATCTCTTTCTCTATCTTTTTCTCTCTGTTTTCACCTTTTATCTCGTCCGGGGTATGGCGGTGGCTCATCTTCGCCGGCGTAAAAATCGACTCCCACCGGGAACCCTTGGCCTGCCCTTTATCGGAGAAACCCTCCAGTTAATTTCTGCCTACAAGACGGAAAATCCTGAACCCTTCATCGATGACCGGGTTTCTAAATACGGCAACATTTTCACCACCCATGTTTTTGGTGAACCGACGGTTTTCTCCGCTGACCCGGAAACGAACCGGTTTATATTGCAGAATGAAGGCCGGCTTTTTGAGTCCAGCTATCCCGGTTCGATACAGAATTTGCTTGGGAGGTACTCTCTGTTGCTTATGAGAGGAACTCTACACAAAAGAATGCATTCATTAACTATGAGTTTTGCTAATTCTTCCATCCTTAAAGACCATCTGTTGGCCGATATAGATCGGTTGGTTAGGCTTAATTTGGATTCCTGGACCGGCCGGGTTTTCCTCATGGACGAGGCTAAAAAGGTAATAATTGAGTAATTTCTTTATTTTTTTCAATTCGGCGCAAAAGGGAGTGTTGAGTTCTGATGGATTAGAGAATAAGAAATTCATAGATGAGTCAGATTTCCAAGGTTTGTGGTGGGGTATCATAACTTAAGTGTATTTTTCCAAATTAATTAATGGAGACATAGAGTATTATTATGTATTGGTAATAAGTAAAGATGGTTGTAATTATGATGATAACACATGTGACATGTCCATAGAAAGAAGAATGTGATGTTATCATGCCTTTTTTTTTTCGAAAATGTAATTCAGTTTTAACATGATGATGGATGTGCAGATAACGTTTAATCTAACAGTGAAGCAGCTGATGAGTTTTGATCCATGTGAGTGGACTGAAAATCTGATGAAAGAGTATATGCTTGTTATTGAAGGTTTCTTCAGTATTCCTTTACCTATTTTCTCATCCACCTACCGCAAGGCCATTCAAGTATGTATATACTTCAGTTCTATCCAATAAACTTAGCTTGGTTGTTATGAATAATCATATATAGATTATTTGTAATTCAGGCGAGAACTAAAGTAGCGGAGGCGTTGGGATTAGTAGTGAGAGATAGGAGGAAAGAGAGAGAAGGAGGAGAGAGAAAGAATGATATGTTGGAGTCGTTGTTTGAAGGAGATGGCGCCGCCGGAGTTGAAGGAAGAGGATTTTCCGATGAGGAAATTGTTGATTTTATACTGGCGTTGCTTGTTGCTGGCTATGAAACCACCTCTACCATCATGACCCTTGCTGTCAAATTCCTCACTGAGACACCCCATGCTCTCTCACAACTTAAGGTCGGTCCCATTCTAATCTTCTTTATTATTCGTGTTTATATAACTTATATATTTTTCTTTTTAGTCACATTTTACTTCAAATAATTTGCCATTTTATCTTCGATGAAGCCGAGAAAAATAGTATCTTTTGAATAAGTTTTCGTGCAGTTAAAATTGGATCGGAGAGAGTACCTAAGTACTTCATTCCTTGTATATTTAATTTAAGGGGAAAATAATATTACTCATAAGTACTATACTGCCACAGATGAGGTGAAAATAAATAAAGTATGTCGAAGTACTTTATTAGAATTTAATGATTTTAACTATATGATTCTTAGTATTTAAGAGAATGTTGCGTAGAGAATATTATTAATTAAATGGATGATATAATTTGTGTAGTGGACCCTAAAGTTGCTACCCACATGTTTGACCTGTTAGATGAATTATCTACTCATCTAAATTCTCATCCAAGCAAATTGACAATTCTGATTAATAGAGTCTTAAGTCATTTGCACAACTACAAATCAAGGAATATTTCTTCCACAAAATTATATACTTTTCCGGCTCCTATCCATTTCTCTCTCATTGTCTTCATCTCCATTTTGTTAACTTCTTACTTGGATGGATGGATGGATGACATATGTCCAATTTTAATATTAATGATATAGATTTGATTAACTAAAGTTAGATCTAAACTATGGTTAGATTTATAAATATTCCCATGATTTGTTCTCAAAAGATCATCTTCATCTTTAATGTCCTCTACTCCTCCCCATAAGATCAAAAGAGAATTTAGCTATATTTTTAAATCTAAAACTACAATTGTTCCGTCCTCCATTTTATGTGTCTCTTATATAAAGTTGAGGAAATGGAGATCCGTTAGTCACCGATCCTTGATTTACGTACCACAATACTTTATTTTTCTACACTTGAGTACTCGAGGAACAACATTCTGTAACTTTTTGTTATTTGTAAACTACTTTTGAATTCTTAAGTTTATCTCTATTTGTTTTTGGGAAGGGGAAAATGTCAAAGAGGGTAGCTATTTTTTTCAGCTAGTGATCCGAATCTAGCTAGTACCCAAAAATATTCGAGCTTTTTGGGTTGAGCTCGTCACACCGAAGAAAATCTTGTATGTTATTTTTTTTATACAAAGAAAAGGTTTAGTACGTATGTAATTTGGAATAATTAAACTTGAAAAAAAATGCATAGCATTCATAAGATGGTGTTTGTGGCCGACAAAGAAGAGAAATTGGCAATTGGTACTGAAAAAAAGGACCGTTGGGTAGCCCCATGTGTCCTCACTCTTTGTTGTATCAACATCACACGTGCATCCAAGTCCACATTCAATCCCATACCCACTCTACCATTTTATAATACCCATTACTTTATTTAACTTTCTATCTATATTTTATTTATATACTTCCATTTCTATTCTTATTAAAAATAGATCTTTCTTAAGAAGATTTGTAATTAAGATACTTCTTTCCTGGTTTGGTAGACTCACGTCAACAAGCTCAACTATTAAAATTAAATTATTTCATTAAGCGCTATGAAAAGTGTCTTTCTTTTTAAAAAAAATAAATAATAGTCACGAATATAAGGCTTGTTTAGTGCGGGTGACCTCTTCTATATGATTTGCGAGCTATTGTATATGAGCGAAATTTTACCTGTGCGCACTCAAAAAATAGCGACCACGGATTTCGCTTCTAATAAAGAAATAGTACTTTCAAGTAGTAAAAGCAGTATTACTCTGTCTTTTAGATTTGTAAGTGACTACCTAGAGAAGTGCTCCCAAAACGGAAAGATTCCATAACATGGGGGTCAAACTTTTCAATGTCTGTATAGAGTGTTTTCCACTATTGATCGGAGGTGATATATATTTCATGAAATTAGTTTGAAATGTACGAAAGCTATTTAGACATTAAGATTATTAAAAAAATGTACTAAATAAAGTAGAAGAAAAATTGTTTGATTGTTGATGTTAATTTTTCTTTGGAGTATAGTTGGGGTACTAAAACTCATTTTTAGAGGCTATTGACTTTTAACCATTTTTTTAGTTTTGAAAGGGTTTGAGTTTGCAAAAAGTGCTTAAAAAGAACTTAAATGTTGAAAAAAAAGGTATAAAGAAACCAAAAGTTGGGGATTCCTAATATAAGCCACTTAGAAAAAGCTAATTCAAATACCCTCTAAAATTAAGATGGATGTTTGAATTGACTTTTTAGAAATGGTGAATATAACTTAAGAGTAAAAGTTAAGATGTGGGCTTGAATTAACCTATTTTAAGTAGTTTTTGATTTTTTATTTTTGGAAGTGTTTGGGAATAAAAATAAGTTCAAAATTATAAAGTTGGGCATAAAAAAGTCAAACAATTAGAAAGATACTCCGTGTCTCTAATTACTTATGGACTTTTTCTTTTTTACTTGTCAATTTTGACAAATCAAGTAAGTACAATTTTTTTATCTATTATACCCTTAATTAATTAATTTTGAAAAAGGTAGAACTTTTTGAAAATTTTAAAATTTTAAATTTTAATTCATCCATTTCATAATTAATAAGGGTAAAATGGTAAACTCACTATACCAATAATTGTTTCCTTAGTAGATGTGTCAATCCAAAATTGAACAAGTAATTAGGGACCGATGAAGTACTTTTTATCTTTTTCTAAACACCATATATATATATTATTATTATTATTATTATTAAAAAAAACTTATAAATCAAGAACATTTAAACTAAGAGCCCGTTTGGATTGACTTAAAAAAAGTAGATTTTAAGTCAAAAATAAAAAGTCAAATTGAAATGACTTTTAAGTCAAAAAATAAAAAGTAGGGAAAGATCTACTTTTGCTTTCTGACTTATTTTAAGTCATTTTTTACTTATTTTAAGTTATTTTTTATCCTGCCAAACACTTCGTAACTTATTTTAAGTAACTTTTTATATTTGCTAAATATTTTCAGAAGTCAAAAACTACTTAAAAATAGTTTGACCAATTTTTAAGCCAATTCAAACGGGCTCTAAGCCAAATCTAAACATCCTCCGAGACATGTGACATATAGTAAAAAAATAGGAAGCGAAAGTAAAGGGTGTAGAATATAGTCTAAGAAGAGCAGAAGCATAGGGTCTATATGTTTCTGTCGAATAAAGGGGAAAAAAAGACCAAACTCCTGCACGCCTATGTTTGTCTTTTTGTTTTCTTTTAAAAAAATTGAGCTAAATTTATTTATTTTTTAGTTTTTTTAAAAAAAATAGTATCTTTCTCTATTAAAATAAGGCGGAATGACCTGGGAGACCCTTGCACTTGACTCTGTTTGTAAGTTGGACCCTCCTACTTATCAGTTTGCCAACTGAACTCCTAATGAGTTTAGGGGTTCAGTTGGCAAATTGATAAGTAGGAGGATCGAACTTACAAACGGAGCCAAATACAAGAGTCTCCCAGGTCATTCCGCCTTAAAATAACTAATTCAAACTTTTTATTTTATCTTTCATGAGAACTTTTTATTACCACACTAATATCATGACACGTTTTAAATTACAAGCTTCAAAACTCTTATATAACTTGGTATATTCCGAAGTTTGTTTTCTTCTTAATTAGATTTTGTGTAGTAAAATATGCATGTATTAATTAAATTCTCCCACTTATTTTTACTTGTCCCTTATATAGAAAACAATTTTTTTTAATTTGTTCATTTTAGTAATCAAGAGAGATTTTTTTTTTTTTTCAATAGTACTCTTATCATTGAGTTACTACCATTCCCCTTGGTTTCGATTTGTTTGTTTTAGTTCATTTCAAAATGAATATTTTTTTGACAACTTGTTAATTTCAACTTTCCTGGTTAAGTTCACATGATTAAACGACATTTTTAGTATATTCTACACATTTTTTTAATTTAAGACCTCAATATTTAAATATTTTAATTTCTTAAATTTCATATCAAGCCAAAATCAACAAACTAACTAACAAAAGAGTACATAAACTACTACTATTTGTCAAACTTAGATTTTCAAAGTAAATTTAATAAACATGAGTGAAATAAAAAAGAAATGAGGAGTAATAAATAAATGATTGAAAAAAGGGGAAGACTTTAGGAAAATGGTGTGGCTGATCTGGGATTAGAAGTCAGAAAAAAGTAAAAGAGCTAAATTTCTAAGGAGGGTTGAAAGTTGAGACTACTGTGTCTGCTCTGATTTAATGACATTTTTATCTTTTCTTTTCCTACTCCTTCATCCCAATGACTTTGTTTTTTCTTCTTTTTCCTGTCCTATACTATACACATACACCCAACTTCATTTCTTAATGTTATTTGATGTTTTTAATGTTTTCATTTCTTTCAACTAATTAAGAAGAGATTATTTTTTCCTAACCTTACCCTTATTTATTCAAGTGAGTATTTTTCACCTAACTACACATTATGCCAATTTAGAAAGATGCATATTTTGATTGAGGGTAATTTAGTGAAAACAATTGTTAGAAAATTGATCTATTTTATTTTTTTAGTTTTTTAACACCTAATTTGTGTAATCGAGTCTATTACACGCGCGCTGATTGGATGAGAAAAGGGCTTTAATAATTGTGTTCTGGGTTTAAGGATTTAGTTGGCAAAGTGATGAGTATGTGGGTTCAATTGACAAACATAGCCAGGTCATTCCGACAGAGGGTGGGACTGGTTCTTTGTTGCTTTATGTAATTCTAATTTTGGTTGGGTAATTTAGCGTTCACTAGCTTACTTGTTTGCATTATCCATAATAGATTTTGTACGCTTCTTTAGAAATAACAAATGAAATGCATGCTTTTATCACAATACCTAAATTAGTTGGTGTATAGTCTCAAAAATTGATTTGGGAATGAATAATGGTGTGTTCTCTTCATATGTTAAAATGGGACAATTAAAAGTGAACGAACAGAAGAGTATTATAATTTATTCAAACAATCTACTCTTGGTAAATTTGAGTTGACACAGGAAAAGAAGATCATTATTGATCATGAGATTGGATCATATTGTCTATAGAGGGAAAAATCATTTTAATAGAATCATTAGCCAAGAATTATACATATTAAAGAATCACTAGCCAGGAAGTCGGCGAAAATGAATTATTGATTATAATTATAATTGAACGTGTTTTGGCAGGAAGAGCACGAGGAGATCAGGTTAAGAAAAGGTGAAGTTGAGTCTTTACAATGGGAAGATTACAAGTCAATGCCCTTCACTCAATGTGTAAGTGCATTACTTCAACAAAATCAAGCTCAACTTGCACATTATAATCTATTATGCTCTCATGTCATCAGTTTGTCTATGATTTCATCTTCAGGTTGTTAATGAAACTCTGCGAATCGCTAACATAATTAGCGGAGTGTTCAGGAGAGCCATGACTGACATAAATATCAAAGGTAAGTTGTCATTACCTTATTTGTGGTTTAAGGGAAGATTTCTCTACAAATAAAGAATTTTGCGGCAATAATATAATATGGTATTTATAACCAACACTGTACAAATGTCGCTAAAGGCTTTAGCGACTCTAGATGCAATAAATGACATTAACTCATTTGTTGCTAAAAGGAAAATCTATTGCCACTAAATGTTGTAGTGTTTCTCTCTCGATATGTGTATAACATGACACTTCCAATATGGAATACAATACTTTGAACTTACATGTGAAGAGTAAAATCCGTATCAGTTGATAACATGTTCTCGTTTAATGTCATTAGTTTGGGGAATATGATTGGTTCTATTACTATGTCAACAAGATATGATCGATATTTGGCACTAAAACAGTTGAAGTTTATGATTTTCTTTCAGGTTATACCATTCCCAAAGGTTGGAAGGTTTTTGCTTCTTTCCGAGCTGTTCATCTAGACCATGAACATTTCAAAGATGCGCGTACATTTGATCCATGGAGGTGGCAGGTGCTTTAATATATCCATCTCAATCTATTCCATATAAAATCTGAATACAAGTGTTGACTCACGTGAATAAACATTTATCAAAATGTGTGAAAATGTACAGAATAGTGCAGGACCGACAAGCTCACCTAACGTATTCACACCATTTGGTGGGGGACCTCGTCGCTGTCCTGGTTACGAGCTTGCTAGAGTGGAACTCTCTGTTTTCCTACACCACTTGGTGACTGGTTTTAGGTATGCTATGTAGATTTCATTTTCCACATACGCAATACTATGATTAGTGTAGAACACTTATATTGGTGGTGATTGCAGTTGGGTTCCGGCTGAGGCAGATAAGTTAATTTTCTTCCCAACGACAAGGATGCAGAAGCGATATCCAATTAACGTCCAACATCGAAGCTTGTTTGAGCAGAGAGAAGAAGAGAATGATTTGTGAGATTGTAGAATGCAGAGTGGAGGTGTATGAAAGGGGTTAAATAAGACAATAGTATATAGGTGTAGCATATACATAGAAAATTAAATTATTTTGTAGTGAATTGAGCAGAGATCACATTCCTCTGATCTGCTGGGGGAATCAGGAAGATTTTATTCTGAGCAAGTGCTTATTATATAATAGTAATGCAAAGCTTTTAATGTATGTTAATTAGCATGGTTAAAGATCTAATTGCCTTCGAAACTCCAATGTGGGCTCCGGACACCGGGTGGGAAACCAAAAAAATAATAATATATAAATAAGGCCAACTAATACAAACATTATTAATATGCTCTATTTAGTATTTTATTCTTTTATACATCCCTTCAAACGACGCCTAAGAGGTATGTGTATTTGGGGAAAATTCTCAATCAATTACATCAAGGAATAGACTTTGTAACTAGTAGTCAAATTTAATTACAATTTCCTTGCATCATATCATCGACTACATTAAGGAATAGACTTTGTAACTCAGTTATATGTTACTAAATCACTTTGGTGACTGGCGAGAGTAGGGAAGGCAATTGGGGGAGGGCGGGGCAGGGCACACCCTTAATAGGGCAGGGAAGGGGAAGCTTTAAACGGGGCTGGGTAGGGCAGGCCAGGGCAAATTATTTAGATTAACTTACAAAAATAACTATATTTATAGGGTTAATGAATATCAATAGCTATAAGTATGTTATTTACAATAAATGACTACAATTTATATCACTTTTTTGCTGTATTTTTGTATAGTTTTTTATTTATTTTATTTATACATTAATACATCTTTAAGTACAACAAACTAAATAAAAAATTGACTCTAAATATAACCCACTATCCTTACATTACGTCCATACAATGGGCAACTTCCCATAATCAACTTTATAACTGAAAATTACTCATTTAAAGACATCATATTATATTCTTTATCAGTTTAACAAAAATTGTGATACATCATACTCAATTTTTTTGTTGTCTCCATAATTCTTATTCAGGCGTCGTAAAGGTATTAATCTTTTTTTTTGTTAATTCAAGTTATTGTATGTAAGCAAATTGTAATTTGTGAATGAAGGTTAAGTATTTCGATTTTGAATAGGTGAACTACATGGCAATAGATACACTAGTTGTTAAGCGAAAAATGAATGCACCAATATAGAATACAATGAATACGTTGTTGTTAAACACAAAAATGAATACGTTGGATACAACTATACTTGTATTCCCTAATCAACTTTTTATCTTGGATATAGTACTTATCTATCTAGATATAATTGTATTCGCAAATCAACATTTCAACTTGTGCTTGTATAACAATACAAGTATCTATGTATATAAATATAGATACATTCAACACTGTTGGTAAGCAAAAATATGGATACATTAGACAAACGAGCAAAAAAGATACAATTTGTGGGTATCAAACTGTATAAGTATGGATACATTAGACACACGAGCAAAAAAAGATACAATTTGTGGGTATCAAACTGTATAAGTATTCTTGTAAATAAATTTTTGAAAAGGCCAACAATATTGTATTGATGTATCCAACTATACTTGAATTCCCTAATCAACTTTAAATTTGACAGAGTACTTATGTATTCAAATATAATTGTATTCACAAATCAACAATTCAACTTGTGGTTATATAATGATACAAATGTCTATGTATATAAGTATTCTACTATATACAAAATTGACAATCAAAGAACCCTCAATCTCTTTTTTGTTCATGTTCTTCTCGTACTCATTTTTTAACAACTATACACATGCATACGAAATCAAATTTTCTAACAATTTTAATACAAGAGGACAATCCATAATATAATGGCAATGGCACACAATACATGTGTTGAGATATATAAGTAAATGACATAAAACTAAAAAAAATAAAGCATACAAATCTCAATTTCATTTTCCTCTTGTTCCTGCTCGACTGCCCTTTTTTCTCACCCACTTGAATCAATATTGTTGACTTTTCTCCTTTTTTTCAAGATTAGTTTTCACTTTTGAACCTTTTTTCTTCTTTATTAATTTTGCATGTTCGATTTTTTCAAGCAAATTTAAGGGTATATGGTCATTAACCTTTTTTGTTCTTCTTTCGTTCTCCATTGCAGCAGTAGAGCCTGAAATTTTGACTTCTTGTTGAGTAATACACAAATCAAAAGAAGGTAGTTCATCCAACAATTTGTCAAATAAATGTATATCTCTCGTAACCTTCCTTAGAGTATTAATTTCAGCCATTGAAATGGATAAACAAATTCTTGAATCAAAACCCTATGAAAATAGAAGTGTAGATGTGTAGATATATAATGTTCATAAAAACGAGATAAATATGCAATTAGAAGATATCTGATGGATACAAAATCACAAAAATTGCTCTTGCAGTGATGTAAAGGATCTTGAATTTGAATGAATTTGGGGGGAAAAAATCAGAAAGTATGTGATGTATGAATATTGATGAAAGAGAAAAAATTGATGATGGTAAACATGGGAAAAGATCACAAATGTACCTGCCATAATTAATTAGGCATTCAATAATTACTTTCCTATTTAATATTTATTTATTATATTAAATATATATATATATATATATATATATAAATTATTTATTTGTATATAATTAAGTTTGCTATTTATAATCTATTTATATCCATCTAACATGAAAAAAATAAAATGTAGCTATTTTTCTTGAATATATATGGATGTTTGTCATATTTTGAAGTTTTTGCAATTATTATTTTAGAAAAAGTTTAATGGGTTAAGGCACCGCAGGGCAAGGTCTGAAAATGAAGGATGAGATAGCTAGAGGAGAAGAATCGGTGAAGAAAGCTGAAAAAACCTCAACGATTTGGGGACTTTTCGGCTCCTAAGACTGTGATTCTACAGCTTAAAGTACTAGTTGGATTTCTTTTTTCCAGTTCTTGGTTTCATTAAGGGAGTTTATCTTTATGGTTGCTTTACAATTTTTTGCATAGTTCGCTTCATGTTATTTTCATGTTTGAAGCAACTTTATTTTTAGTTGTAACCTTTGCATCTTCTTGATGCCTTTCTAATGCAATTTAATTACTTCACCAAAAAATAAAATAAAATTATATAGTCACAATCACTTGAAATTAATGGAGTAATATTTTTGGAATTTTGTTGTTTTGTAATTTAGTGATTAATTAATAGTTGTAATTCAAGGCGTGATTTGATATTTTTCGACGTTCCAATTGTGACAGAATAATAAATCTGCTACCTGCACAAAAAAAAAAAAAAAATTTCAAATTTACTCCTTCAATTCCTACCAGCACTTACCAATATTCAATTTTCTCAGATTTATGAAGGTTGATACAGCTAAAAACTCACGTATCTTGATGGGTTTGGGGTCTTGCACTGTTATTGTAATGGGGCGGGGCGGGGCGAGGCAGGGTGGGGCAGGTTGATTTTAAAAAAAATACTAAACGGGGTAAGGTAGGGCAGGCCAAAATGTTAATAGGTCAAGGCTTACCCCCCCCCCCCCCCCCCCCACCCGTATTGACATCCCTAGGGAAGGCAATGGATTGAGACAGGACGGGTTGAATTTAACCGATAAAAAAATCAACTTGTTCTGCCCTTCATAACAATTTTTTAAAATTTTAATTTGCTCCACTCCATCTCATATAAATGCGTCTCGCCCGCTCCACTTAAGATTTTCTCTCTATACATTTTGTTAATTAGTTAAAATACATAATATTAAGTTATAATGCTCGTGTTATTGCCTTGTTAATGTTACTAACTGTAAAAAAAATTCAACTACTAAATTATTCGTGACTTATTTGAAAAAAATGAGTCTAATGACATTTCCTAATTGCTTGTCTAATCTCTTAAAATTAAGTAATTGCTTATCTTTAATTAATAATATCATCCATTTTTATTCTATTTATCACTTAAATAATACTGCGTTTTTTATCCCAACATATGAATAAAGCCTTATGGCCAGTTCGATTAAGAAGATAATTTTTTATTTTATTTTTTGCGTTTCTTGACTAACTGAATCACATAGGCATAAATAATTAAACATATTCGAACACAAATTATAAAATATCAATTAAACTCTAAGCTTATGCTTTTCTGGACTAAAGAGAGACACAAAAATAAAAAATAAAAATGATAAATGACTTGGGTTCTTTCAAATCCACCCTTGCCCCGCACCCGCATTGGGCTTAAAAAATTTAGTTTTAACTCATCCCACTACACCCAGCCCCACCCTGCATGAGTTTGGAATCTATTTGAGCCATAAAAAAATAAAATTGACCAAAATAAGTCATGATTTTAAAAAGTAACTAAAATAAGTTTAGTGTAAATTTTTATACCGTTTTACCCAAAATATAAACGATAGACGTTAGTCTGTTAACGTTTATATTTTAACATAAAATTGATTTTTTCACTTTATAAAGTGTAAATTTTCCTTACACTATATAAAATGTAATTTTTTCTTACATTTTTTAAGTGTAAGTTTTTCTTTCACTTTTTTAAGTGGAAGAAAAAAAAATTTGTTTTACAAAAAAGGATTTTTTTTTTCTGTTTGACATTAAATTGTGTCTCTTTATGTAGTTTTTACAGTGTTTGTCATACAATTATATTGATTTAACATATCATAAAAATAATAAAAAATAATTACATTATATATATTTATTTTGTTTAATCTCAAAATTCCTTCAAGCTCTATTTAAGGATGCTCAAACATAACACCTTCAATATCTTTAATATTTTATTCTTCTTCATCTCAATCACAAAAAAGTCTTTTGAACCAAAAGTTAGAGTTTCAATTTATTGGGATGGTGAAATTATACATGACAGAAATACTGTTCATTATAATTGTCCTCTCAAACACAATGCTAAGTATTCACTTAATGTCCGATATGAAAAATTTCTTTCATCAATTTATAAAAAAATGGGTATAAATAGTATTGATTATAATTGAAAAATACCCTACTTTTTTTTTAATCACAATGACAAGTAAATTTTGGAGAGCTGATTATCTATTATGACGAATCGTTGACAGACTTTTGGAGGGTTCCAAACGACTACATAGATCAAATCAAGTTAACAATGTTGAAAATCTCTGTTAAGAAGGAGCCTAAGACTACTCAACAGCATTCTTCTTTATCGCTTGATGTTCATCCCAATTAGAAAATCGTAATAGCCATGATAGATTCCCCATAACTCAATACAATGATTTCCT